AAGAAAGAGTACAAAACCCCTCCTTTTTAATTTTCAAATTACACCACCTATGTTCCAACAGAGAGTCATTGTCAAGAAAAACAATTGTGTTTGTTCTACTGATTTTGTTTTAATGTGCTTTTTCTAATGCTACAATCATTAGACTATTTTTCAAGAACACTGGTAATATCAAAATAAAGTTGTATGATACAATTATCAGTCTCTATAAGAGAAAGCAATAGCATAACAATGCACTGTATAATAATTGTAGTAATTTACTAATGAGGAATATCATAGCGATGTGGTATATAGACCCTTCCAATCATCTTCATTGTTTCCCCAATGATAAGCACTGCAATTCCCTCTCTGCAGGCAGGAATGCCCCTGGGGGAGAGGCAGCCATGGGGAGCCCTGGCCCATAGCTGGTGAGGAAGAAAAGCACAGACATCTCTCCTCTGCTCTCCCTGCTCAAGATAATCCTGGCTGACAGCATAACTCACTTTGTGAGTTCCATGGAACCCAGAAGTACCCTGGATGGAGCCAAGGAGCATACTTGGGTGAAGAGTGATCTGAAACACAAATTATCCCCTACTACACTACAGTACACTACAGTACACTACACTACACTGCACACCCCTCACCCCATCGCCCTCCTTGTGCCCTTCACAGTGACAGGCTACCCCAGCACTTCTCATGGTTGCTTTATAAGCTTACTTTTAATGATATTACTGACTTTTTTGAGTACTATCTAGAGTTTACAGCTCTTTCCTTAACATATCTCTGAGCTATATTTGTCAGTGAAGAATTAGAGCTAGAAGAATAAACTTAAAGGCTCTGGAACATGTAAGATCTTTGATTAGCAGGTGAATTTAGGCACCATCCTGGGCTACATGCACAGGATACACATAGGACAACTCATTTCCATTGTTAGCAGGTATTTCCAAAAGCACATATTCTATTCTCTGAGTAACCTTAATTTCTAAAAATTTAGAAATTTTTAGTTTGAAAAACAATATTTTAGTTTACTCTGTAACATTTTTCTTGCATCGTTGCTCTTTTTGAACTGATGTGAAACAGAAGGTAATTTCCATTTCTACTAATTCCTATTAATAGAGATGAAAATTCTTGTTTAGTCATCTTTCTTGCTTCTCAGATTTCTGTTCTACAAAACTGGCAGTGTATTGCCATGGTGATCTTCTGCCACAAAATGTGCTTTAAGAGTTGAACTTGATGATCCTTCTGGGACCCCTTAAGCTCAGACTGTTTTGTGATTCTGTGATTCAGTAGACACTCAGCATGGGAATCAGAAATCCATCAACCCAGTTTCAAGGATACAGTCAGCAGAGAAAGATAGTCTGGGAGGAGAGTGATTTTTTTTCTTATTAGGACAATTAATTCAAATAAGGAAAGAACTGTCCTCTGTAATTTTCGATCAATTAAGCTGAGACCTCAAAACAGTGTGTGCCAGTAGCAGCTAGGAATCTGTTACATAACAGTGAGATCAGGAGATTCCTAGTGAGATGTATCCCACTGCTTTTTACCTTATCTTTTTAGCACCTTTTTTACCACCTTTTTTACCTTACTTCTTAGCTTTAATAGCTTCTTCCTGTGGTGCCAGCAGATAGGCTCCTTAAAACCTCCTGCAGAGGTTTCCCCACCATTCCCATTTGAGCAAATGATCTTTTCTTTAAGGCTGGTACATCCCACACACACAGTTTAAAAGACAAAATGAACTACATCTTTCCTGACATTAATGCAGCAGGTATCCTATCCTTCTAAAGATTTCTTTAACATTTCTTGCTTTTGGTGCAGGGAATTCCTATGCACAGCTGCAGTTTAACAGTATCTGTAACAAATTGCTATCTATTTTAACAGGTGCTCCTCCTGTTGCTCTGCCTCTCCAGAGTTCACTCATTTTCTTTCTCAGGCATTTAGGAGATGTGCTGATGAAGATACAGTCTTTTGCCAGGCAGACTATTTAGTGGGGACAAATTGTGTGATCATAATAAAAACAAGTAGTTATCCATGCATTGAACTACTTCACTCACGACAAATTGTCTATGTTTATGTGTCCCTTTTTGGTTAGAAATAAATCTTTCTTATTTTCCTAACTTGTCCAGATTTTAAGTCTGTTATTTCTGGCATTCTGATGCCTCCTTTTTTCCCTTCTCCAACTTTACCTTTTATTCTGTTTTTGTTTATTTTTATAATTTTTTAATAGTGTTCATTTTTGTGGGGTTTTTTTGTGTTTATTTTTTGTTTGTTTGTTTTGTTTGGGCTTTTTTAGGAGCTTCTCTTCTTTCTCCTTTCTCCCTTTTCTCTCTTTACTCTTCTCCCCTTCAGTCTGGCAATCCTGGAGTAGGTCTATGAGTGAAATTCTCTAATATCTTAGTGATTACATCAATGTTTTTGGGTTTGTTTCCCTCCCAAAATTTATAATAAGCTTTAGCTTTCTTGTGGGTATTTTAGGGAAACCTACAAGGTAATAAACCCCATGTTCTCCATGTACAGCCATTTATGTACTACAACATGGCATTCAGCCAGTGGCTGTCACAAAAGGGCATAAGAAAGCTCCTTCCATGAAGAGCTGTCAGTGTGGCTGTCTTTGCAGGACCACCTTGTGCTCTTCTGGCCCTTGATAAATGGATGTGGAGAATGGAGAAGATTGGATGTTGCAGAAAAAAGTGGGAGAGAAAATGGCACTCTAGTTGATGACAAAAATCTCAGATCCCAGTGCAGAATGGTGATTCTCCTTGCAACATGAGAAAAAAATTGAGGAGAAAAAATTGTTGCCATTCCACAAGTACAAATCCAGCCCAGTTAAATTATCAATAATTCAAATGCTTAAAATACACTGAATAAATTTTATGGTGCTTTCTGACACACGTCTCAGGAATGGCCACAACATATTTTCGGTGTTGTGGTGGTTTTCCCCTCTCGCTTTTTTCAAACAAATTTCTTATGGGAACATAATATGAGATCCTTCTGTCATCTCTGTAAAAGCAAAATTTCCACTAAGCACACCTGGACATCAGCCATAGCTTTATCCATATCCTGACAGCTGTCTGCTGCTTGCTGCCTTTTTTAGGAGTGTTGGCTGATGGAAGCACTGACCTTCCTGTTGGTCATCCCCTCGGAGGCAAGCGACATCAGCAGTAGGTGTTGTCCAGGCTGCTGTGGACAGCAAGGGGCTGGATTGCAGACCTGCCTTGCCTGGCTCTGTCAGTGGCTGGGATCTCTTGGAAGAGACAGTGAGCATGCATTGAGCAGTTTGAGAACAAGTGCTGGGGGATCCTTGGCCACCCCCACATGCTCATGTCTGACTTCTGGGGAGGACAGATCTGCTGCTCCTGATGCTCAGGAAAGCCAGGCAGGCTGGCTAGATGGAATATAGATGTACAAATAGCAATCACCACTTATTTTCTCATGACAGGAGACAAGCATTTGCCAGGAATGCCTCTGCAGCTACTGAGCATTCACCCTAACTCCCCCTGCAGTGTTGCAAATGACTGGAGGAGGGTGATGGAGCAGGGAGGAAGTCCCATAAGTGCACGCTCTTCTCTCATGACTCTTATCTTCTACCCTAGACTATTCTTTTGGGTAGTGTAGGAGGCAGACTGCTGGCTCAGATGGTCTTTTGGTTCAGCTAGCTGATGTTCTCAAGAGAAGAGCACAGATAATATCCCCCCATGGTGAACACTGCTTCTGATATATCTCAGTACATTTTTATGCTGCTTCTGGGCATAAGCTCTCCATCTAGAGCAGCAACAGATCTAAAAATGGGTTTACTTTGAACTGACATTTGTAGGTCCTCTCCTGCTGCAGAGATAGGGCATTGGGGATAAAAAAGTTACAAGACATTTTGAGTACTCATTCTTGATAGATAGATCTTTTGTCCTAAACTATGATTTAGTTTTCATATCTAAACTTGGTCAGTTGCTGTTTGTCATAAGAATGGTAAATATTTTGAATCTAAATTAACAACTTTAGCTTTAATTAGTGAGAAAAGCTGCTCATTACTCCCAAGTAATTTACTAACAATATTATTATGTGTATTATGTGACCAAAAAAAATTAATGCAATCTGGCATTTATGACTTCCACATAACATCAGTTGCTAAGGTAAGAAAACAACAAAAATACCCCTTTTATTCAGAAAAATTCTTAAACTAATAAGCATGTTCCTAATATTAAAATCAAGTCAGCGATCCTATTGACTTTCATTACATAAAATTTATGACACTTGGATGTAGTTTAATAAGGTCATAAAAATGCCAGTTGTGGTATCTCATAATACTTTTTATAAACTGGTTTTACAGTCTACCCTTTGTTCCAAAGTTCAAAGTGACAATTGAAATGCACAGGTTGCCCAGGGGTTCAGACTTTTCTTGAAGTACTGACTGGTGAATACCTTAATTTCTAATATATCTATATTTTTTTTCAAAATCTCAGTAATTGTGGAGAACGTTCCTTTCCTCCAGATGTGCCAAAGTTGATATTTTTCATTTTAAAGAAAAATATCAATAATTCAGTACAACGAACACATTTTATTGCTATACACTTTTTTCTTTTTCCTTTTTCCATTTTTATATGAAATGAAAACTGTGCAACATTTATTCCTAAGCAGGTCAAATTCAAACAATACTTCTAAGTGCTGTTACAATAGTGGCATTATATTGTCCCTTGTCAGCTTTCAATTACTTCATCCACCTAGCTGATCACTGACTTATTTCCTGGCTTAGGTAAATAGGACTTTTGGTGCACTTCCCTTAAGTCATTTCAGAGAAGATAAATTAAATAATGATTGCAATTTAATATTGTGATAGTGCTAAAATATTTCCTTCAAGCTTCAAGTTTGACCACAAGTTTCCAATAATATACTTTTTTTCACTTGCTAGCTCAAACCTGAGGTTTTATTAAATTCTACAGCTGCAGTCAGTATTTATGTTTTCATCTAGCAAATTGGACATTTTAAATAATAAAGAGCATGAAGTTATATATATAAACAGATAACACTTGCAATTCATTTAAGGTGGAAACTTTATTTAAAATTAATAAAATTCCACACAATATGGCACAGAGGTCCAAATTCTTAGCTCATTATGCTGAAGCAAATCTGGGGAAAATCCATCGACTTTGTTGAGGTTATTCCAGGATCATAGCCAAATACTCAAAACCTGGTCTGGGTATATATTCCTCAGGGAGGCAGAGCCCTGTGTGCACAGGGCCCTCAGTGTGCAGAGGCTGGTCCATCTAAGGAAGGATGTCCCCTTGCTTCCAAAGAGAGGGACAAACTTTCTCAACACACTGGGGAATCGAGACACTGGAGGAGACTTTGCAGTGAAGATCTTGGCCCTGCAAATTCCATGGCTTATCTTCTTCAGGGAATACTGAAACTGGAGAGGAGGTAAAAGCCTGAAGTACAGCTTTAGATCTTGGCCCTGTGGAAAAGCACAATCCTTGTTTCACTTTGCCCTTGCCCTTTGATGATTCACCCGGTGCTCTCTCTTTAGGAGAAAAAACTAATAAGCAATAAAGTGTATAGTCTGTGCCATTTACAGATAAATGAAGTGTGGAGTTCTCATTTTTCAATTTGCAATCACTTTTAATATCCTCTGCTATTTATAGCTGTTTCTGCCCATGTCTACACTGAAGAACATCAGCTTCATAGTAGACAAATTCTGCATGTGGTATCTCCAAGTAGAGGAGCTGCTCAAGGGACAGGAATGCACCCGTGTTGAGAAATTCCTCCTCTTTGCTTCAAAGCCTCCACAGTGTCTTGTCTTGGACGTGATGATAGCTGTGTGTACTTGTTCTGCCCTCAAGTGTGACAGCTTGTATGCCAGGTTCATCTCAGATGTTAAACTGCAATTTTCCAAGAGGGCAATTCCCAAATAGATATTTCAAGCCAGTGCCCGAAGAAACACTTTAGTATAAGTATGTTGGGTTAACTAGCTTAGATAGAAATTTTTTTTTTTTGCAGGTAAAGTTCCTAGGGAGACAAATTGCTCTTGCTCCTGTTTTGTATAGGAACTTAGAGGTTGATGCTTAAGGACAGAACTTCATCCAACTGTGCTGACCCAATGCTAGCCCAGCTGCAGGCTCTCCCCACTCTCAGGAATCTGCAATATTCATGAACCAGTCAGAGGTGAGTGAGGACAGGGTTATACCAGTGACAGGACAGCAGCAGCTGCTCACTGGCAGGTTGGGCAAGGAAAGAACAGCTTAGGTCTTCCATTTCCAGATGTTTTTTTCCTATGGAAGCATCCATGCTGTAAGAACATCACTGAGCGCAGGGAGATTCACCCTAGAGATGGTTTTTTGGCAATTTGTACTCTGCTATATCTGAAACCCAGAAAATCTTCCAGTTTTGTCCAAGAGCCTGCAAGTTATTTTAAAAAGAGTGAACAAATAAATTAATAAAAAGGAAAAAAAGGAAAAAAGGGAAAGAAACAACTGAAAAAGAAGCATATCCTGGGAAAATAACACGAACATCTTACAGCTGATCTGATCTCTCCCCTTCCCACTGTCCCACAGGAAATTCTGACTTTATGTTTATTTTCCTTTCTTTAGGATACTAACTTTAAAAACAAAAAGTAAAGGAATCCCAGTTGCAGCCAAGCTCAAGTCTCACAGAAACAGTTCAATGATACATAATGCAAAGGATTCCAGCAGATTTGCAAATAGGAGGCTAAAATAAGACAGAAAGTAGCAGAGAGAATGCTGGTATTTACATGGATGTGGGCCTTCTACTAATGCTACTGTAGAAGTAGGAACATAAACTAATATTTAGGTGTGTTGGGCCAAGCTCACCCCTGCATTAATTACATCCTGTCAAATAGTGGAGCAAATCTTGGAGATATTTGACACATGAATAAGGGAGCACCATGAATGAAGGATGTCTTCACCAGGCTGACAAAGCTGGAGGTAGGTCAGGCAGCAGCAAAGGAGGGGACTTGGACTTCAACTCTGTGAACACAGTCACAACTTGTGTGTGGAAAGTTCAGTTCTGAGAATCCTGCCTCATCCCCCTGCTCTGCATGGAGGTCAGGGACACCTGCAGAGAAGCGGTAGAGGCGGAGAAGAAGCAAAGACAGTAGATTTCCTTTTCATAAGAAAATTAAATTATTTTTGTGGATAAAGGAGTTGAAACTTTCCTGTTGACATTGAAGAGCTGGGTTTTCTGTCTTGATGGCCAAAGCATGTATCCTAACCCCTCCTCCAGGTCACAGGAAACCTTTCAGTTTGTTGTTCATAAAAGTTCATAAAAGCCTGTGAAAAAAAGACTGTGAGAGAAACAAGAAAGACAGTTGAACTTCAAGAGAGATTTCCCTCCACTGAACAAACTCCAGGAGGAGTCATGCATGCATAAAATACCTCTCCACTATCATTTCCACTGGCTCCTTTGGGAAGATTCAGCATTTTGCAGCCAAAGACCCATGATCAGCAAAGCATCTGGCCTCCTGACTCCCCATTTGAAGTTTAAATTCCAGCTGAAGTCAGTGGGGAGTTTGAACAGGAGTTGGGAGATTCAATATTTTGCTGAGCATTGGCCGTCAATATCAGTGCACTGCTTAACTCATAAACTATATTTACAATTATTGCTCATGTTCATCCACTGACACATTTCAGGTGCTTATAGAGGTTTCTAATAGTATGCCGTAAATCACCCTAAAGAGCTGGGATACAATTTTTAGAGTTCAAATGGGAATACTTACTAGATGTGAGTGTTTGGAGGATAAGGACCTATTTTCCAGAACAGGTGCTTAAATGAAATGATGAAGTCATTATAGTTGAGCAACTTAATACAGAGAAAAAGCTCACATTATTCTAGTACCTATAGGGCTCTAGCAAAAATGTCTAAATTAAAAATTTGAGAACTTATTAGGCAGGAGGATTAAATTTGCCATTTCACTTGGAGAACATTTTGCGGATGTGGGAAAATAAAATAACTTATTTTTGTGCCTATATAGGATTTTTTTTGCCACCTGGAGAAGTTGCATGGTTTTGACATCACTTCCACTTTTTTTTTTCTGCTTTTGAGTTTGCTTCTTTCCTATGCTGCAGACCTCTTCAGTGCTATGAAAATGAGGGTTTGCTCTTGAAACAGGCATGTGTTCAGGAAGGTACAAAACGTCTCTCGCAAAGGCAATATAGTGCACTCTTTGTGGTCGAGAGTGTGGGAAACTCCATTCGGTTCATTTTCATGACAGAAGCACTGAACCACATTAACACAGAAGGAAGATGTAGAAAACGTTTAATGGTGCTGCAACGCTTTGTTTATTCTCAGCTAAGCCCACAGGCTTCCAAATGAGCCCACTATGCAATGCGACTACATAAGGTTAACTGCTGGGTACATTAAGCAAAATACTCTCTCTTAGATGCTTGTTTAAGTCATCATTTCTGATCATTTATCAGACTTAATGTGCTACAGCAGACTGCAGGTCACAATGTGTCATTTCCAAAAGAACTTTGACTTTTCCCGTTCCAGGGTCAGGAGCTGGTAATGTTTAGCTGAAATGACTGCATTGCACTTCATAGCATCCAGTATATCCACTGAGGCTTTGGAGAGCCATTCTTGATAGACCTGGCTCCAGGTATTTGGGCATTAAAATCTAAGGGAATTGCTTAAGTACAGGGACTGAACCAAGATTGAAGCTGGCTGCAAAAACAAACAAAAAAACCCTCCACTTAATTTGTTGGGAAAAGATCATGAGACGTATAGCAAGGATAATTGTTTTTCCAAACTGATAGTAGGAGTTCTGTCTGGGGAAAAACCCCAAACCAAGCACACAGACACCCCTACGGTATGAAGGTTATTTACATGGAATTTCAGAACAAATTGAAATAGCTTGGATTATAATGTTGAACATGCCATGTGAGCATTTCCCCAGTTCAAGGTAAAACAATAAGGCTATTTATCTGGTGAATTCTAGAGCTAAGTGATTTATTTACAGCAAAAAAAGTTTCCTTGATGACTTTTGGTTGTTTTTTGTTTTATTTTTTTTTATTTAGAAACTATGTGCATTTTCAAGATGTTTGATTTTTTTAACAGGTTGGGGTCACACTGATGGGGATTGGCCAAGGATAAGATGGGAATCAACAAACATCTTCTGTTTTCTCCCATTTCCTTTTAAAGTGCTGGGCTAAAGCCTGTTTTCAACTGCATTTGTGGCTCCATAGTAGATAGAGTAAGAGAAGCGTCTGTATTAAAAACATAAATCACAGATCTAACATTATATGCTCCAAGTACCATGAGACATTTTTTTCCTCTGTACCAATCCTGTATTCACATCCTACATGGATGCACAAATATTTTAGGTAAAGATGAATCTCTTCTCAAACCCTCCTCATTATAATGAGTTATTTAGTTTAAAAAATAAGCTAAAAATATTATTTTAGTTTCTAATAATTTTACCAGATTTCAACCATTCAGAAATGATCATTTTTCTTTCTAGGGATATCTTTTTTGTATCCATTATTCTTTGGAAAATTTTCAGCAAAGATGTTCTGGTGTTTCTAAGAGATTTGGGGAGAATACATTACTTTTTGAAGGCTAAAAGAAGTTCTTCTGATAATTAATTGACAAGCACTGCCCAGCAGTGCCTTGGGGAAGAGGCCTGAGATTTGCATTAGGGATGGGCCTTTCACTGAATTTCTGTGACAAATTGCTGAAACAGTGAAAACTTGAGGTACCTGCTTCTTCAAAGGGTGACTGCTGAGCCTCTGGCTCCTTCCACAGAGACAGACAGCACCTGTGAGCCCATAGAGGGCAGCTGGGCACCTTCCCATCTGGGGCTGTGGATGCAGCACCCTCTCAGCTAATGCAAGAGGATGTAGGGAACCTGTTGTGAGGTGGAGCTGGAGAGGGGACACTAATTAGGAGGAGGGAGCACTGAGAACATCATGTTGGAGTGTACTGGGGAGATAGATTCATCCCAGCTTCTCAGCCACTGAGCCAGGGTCATGGAAGTCTTAAAGTGCCTAAGAAGAAAGGATCATTCTTATATTTGGTTCTTGTGCAAGCTGGTGTACATCAAAGAAGTCCACTCTACAAAAGTCTTGGAAATGAAAAAATATTGACTAGCCACCCTGACCCTAAGTGGGATGAGAGTCCAGTCAGATAATAGTACACAAAACTTAGTTAAAGGCCATTTCATAACACTGTATATTCAGGGGAGCAGGGCAAGTTGTTATTTGAGGTTCTCAGAGTCTTTTCATCTCCTAAAATTAATTTTTTTCTATCCTAGTAATATTCTACTACAATGTCTTATATTGTAGCAATTAAAAAAACAGCCATCATGTAATTCTGAAGGTCTAAGAGAATTTTTAAATTTATAAGGAATCTAATTTGTGAGCAATCTAAATCAGAATCTTTTTAAGAACTATGAAAGAAGCAAACAAAAGACCTCATTGATGTTATTAGAATAATTTGATTCTATTTAAAAGTGTTCATTACCCTTAAATTGGTAGATTTCAAAAGAACATGAGGAGATCCTCTGTGAAGATTTTCTAGATCCGTTCTGTTAGAAAAAGTTGCCTCTCTCTCAGGATGTTCAGAAATATAAATTGTAATTTTCAAAGGTAAAGCTTGAGAACATAACTGCATTTTAAAAGCAAGTTGCTTCTAAATGTCTCATTAGTAAAGCAGAGTTTTCTGTCTGTAAATGAAAAATTTGGCGAAGAAGGCAATAAGTGAATAAAACATTTATCTAATACACAAAGGGGAAAAAAAGTCAGAAAAAATAAAAAATCCTAGAAATCTCCCCCCCACAGTCTTTCTTTTCTCCCCACAAGAGTAATAAACAGTACAAGAGAGGGTTGGATTTTTCTTTTAAATTAAATATTTACTATAAGCACAGAAGACCTATTCTTTCTTCAAAGAGGAGTTACTTGTTGGTAAATTTATCATCTGATTGTTTGAACAGTGTGTGCATATCATACAGCAAGAACTTGTGAGATTGCTGAGTTACAAGAGTCTTAATTCAGTATCCAGAGAGTGAGAAGGAAGAGGGAGGATCAAGGACAAGGAGAGAAAGAAATGAAGTGAGTTAGTTAGGCACAAACTCATTCTATCTTAAAAAAAACTCAACATTATTTTTAATACTGAGTGCTTTTCATCAGGTAGAAAGGGGCACATGAGACATAGACTTACAGAGGCTTGAAAGAGTCCTTCAGGTTCAAAACACTCTGAGATGTCTGCAAATGCCAAGAATATTCACACATTTCTAGTTGCACCAGTGAACACTTGTGTGCCACACGATGTAATCCCAACAGGCTAAGAAAGGGTCGTGACATGCCTGCGTGTTTGGTATTGTTTGTTCATTCCCAATTTCCACACTGAGAAACACAGGAGGAGCTTTATTACAGCTGCATTTACAGAGTGGAGGGCTGAGCTCTCTCTGCGCCTGAGAGGAAACTGAGGGGATAATAATTTTTCAGCTGGTAATTACACTGACTCTAAAATTCTGTACCTGGACATTTCAAGGTGAAGAGGAAAAGTGTGTTGCATTATTCCTGTTTCTTTATTAAAATATTATCCCATACTTGCCAGCTGCTGGGACATATTTTAAGAGTTAAAAATGTCATATGAAAATTTAATGAAATAGAAAATATAGCATAAATCAGTTCCAATCCACATGTTTATATGAGGGAATTTTGTAAAAATTTCTCTCTTCTCTCATTAAAAATAAAAATGGACATACTCCTTTTTCCTCAAACTTTCAACAAAAGCAAGAAAAAAAAAGCCACAGTTTGGCAGAAAGCAGCACCAGGACTGTAAAAGTTCAGCCTTATAGGTGAAAGTTTTGGAAAGTTATGAGCAAATGAAAACAGGGACTTAGCATGGAAATGCATAGGCATCCTTAATTACAGCTGTTGGTAGCTCTCCAGCTGTATTGCAAACGGCATATGTTTTTTCTACTTAGAGTCCTAATCCTGTTAGTGGATGTGTCAGCGTGGAGCCCTGCAGCTGTGGCGTGTTCCCCGGCATCGGGGCACATCTCGTCTCGTGAGCAGCGGAGTCTCCACAGCGCTTCTGCCTCCCCCGTAGACGTCAGCTGCAGATGGCTGCAAACACTGGGAAGTCGTAAGAATAGGAATCTGTGAATGGTGCTAATGTCTAATGTGATTAGTGAAATTCCGGTGGTGTTAAAGCAGCCAAAACTGAACATGGAAGCAGCTAATTAATTCCACGGGTTTAGGAACACAGCACTGGCGAGGATTTGGGGTCATATATTACATATACAGCGCATTAATAAAAGATGAAGATTGAATGATACGCCACCCAAGCTGTGCAGTAATCCCTCAAGAAAGTATTATCTGGAGCATCTTACTGAAATTAGTTTTGCTGAGAAAATTGGATTAAAGTCTGAACTATATGTTTACTGGCTATTGTTAAAGTCAGTATGAAATCACTGACAGTTAGAAACTTCCAGTTATGTTTATGGTCGTGTTATTTCCAGAACACATGCAAGAGTCATACTTTTAAATTATTGCAACATCATTATTGTGGGTCCAGAAGCCCAGTAAAGTCAGGGACTCTTGCGGGAAGCGTTGTAGAGGGGACTGCTGGGCAACCACGTTGGGTATGGCTGAATAAGGTAATCTTTTGGTCCTGATTTACAGGAAACCCCATCTGTCGTAAAGATTACTCAATCAATTTTTTATATATTGAAACCAAATGTATGCTAGAAAGCATCGCTAATGCAAAGCTAAGGTCCAAGTCCCGATGAGTCAGTGGAGGAGAAGGCTTGAGCCTGGCTGTGAGAAAGGGAAGAAAGGAAAGGTGGGAGGAGAACAGCACACAAGGACACCATCCTCTGTGGGCCTTGTGCCCCTTGCCGTGACAAAATGACCCAGAGGGTACTTAGAAAAAATTGCTTCTTGTGCTGCTGAAAAGTTGTGTGTACTCAAAAATGGAAAGATGGAAGGCTTTTTCCCATTGTCAGCACACGCTGTTGGTTACCTAAGCAGGCAAACAAGCACTTCCTCATTTTCTCCTTTGATACAACTGAAAAGTAATCTACAAGTTTGAGATTGCCAATAATTTGGCCAAAATCAATAGCAGGTGGGTTATTTCAAACTGTGCCTCATTTTTGAGTTTGTGCAACATCAACACCTTTAATCTTGTTAGTAGTGACAGAGAAAATGTTCCTTTCACTCATTGCAGCCTCCTTATATGGCCAATCTGGGTTGAACAAACACTAATTAGTTCATAGTTGGGTAACACTTTAGAAACCTAAAGTTCTATGTAAGTGCTAAACATCATTATGGTTTTTGTGAGCCAAACAAGAATTTATTGGGCTACACTGAAAAGAGTTGTTATAATAAAAATGCTAGAAATATGGTTTAAACAAAGTTACATAAAGTGTAAATTAGATAGGCTTTAAAAAAATTCAAGCTCTTTCTTTGTGTACAAACTACCACAAGAGTGACTCAAGTAACATTTTGAAAAAATTTGCAGAGGATGAACTGCATTCCAGTACTCATTCTGCATTTTAAGAATGATCGCTAACGGTCTCAGCAACAACATAGGAAGTGTGTATTTGAAAGATGACTACTGTATAATTGCCAATAAGTTCTGTATCCAAGCATATGCTGAGGATATTTTTTTTAGAAAGAATATTCTGAGAGCCCCATGAACTTTTATATAGCATAGTAATGAAACAGAAACACTTTTTCTGGTGCCAAGTTTCTATTAAATCAGTCTTTTGGAAAAAGAAAAAAAAATTCATTCTACTACAGTAAGAAGGATTTTAATAGAAAGCTTTACAATGGTTCTGGCAGGGGATGTTCTGAAATAATGAAAATGAATAGAAAAAGTTCCAACCTTAAACAACAGTGGCAGTTGATTAGCAAAGCTGAATAAAGATTTTAAAGAGATTTCTATCTCTGCTTAATAGTCTTCTAGGAAATCTGTTGTATTATAGCTGCTCGTTAAAAGGCCACAGCTTTCAGGGATTATTGTTGACTATTGCTGTGGAAAGGGGACAGTCAGTGTTCTTCATGTCTTCCCTGTAATCTGTAACATCAACAGTTAGCTTGGATCTTTCACATGACTTAATGAGGATTACATTTAGGGAAAAAAATTCTATTGAAACAAAGATAAAATAATGGAACTGATGGAAATCCAGAACTTGACATAAGATATTTACCGTCTGAATATCTTCACAGCTGAAAGTTGTACAATACTGTTTTTCTTCCTCCCACACTAGGAATTTACTGTATCCTCTGAGTTGTTTGGATTCAATTTCTCTAGTTTATCTCATTCCTGTTCAAGGCTCTGGATCCTACTCATGTCCCCAGACTTGTCTCTGTATTTTATCCATGGACTGTTTCATGCTGCGCACAGAAACCTCCCAAGAGCATTCCAACACACTCACACTAAGAAATTCCCTTTGTGAAAGCTCCACATTGTGGCTTGCCTTGCCCTTCCTGTGATGCTCACTCAGTATTGCCTTCACAAGACACAGTCTGATCCAGAGGGGGGCAGATGCTGAATCTTTTGAGCAATGCTGGGCTCAGTTCTGCAACCCTATGTGCTTGGTCAGACTCTAAAGTGAGAAGATGACAGCAATCATGGCCACTATGACCAGCACCTCCTTCTCCTCCTTTCATCTCTCTCCTTCATGGCCACAGCACTGTGCTCTCAGACCATCCAGGCATGGACATTTTAGGCTGACACAGTGATGATGCTGGAGATGACATTGAGAAAAGCCTTCAGATGGCAGCCAGCAGGCCTCCAGATTCCCAGGGCATGTGATGTTCTTCTGAGGACCCGGTCCTTGCTGGCTTGTAACCTGTCTCTTCCAGCTGGAAACTGCAATCACATGATTTTACACATGACTGCAATAAGTTGTTACTGTCACCTGGGGAAAGTAAGAAGCAGGGAAGAAAGAAAAAATATAAGAAATGCAAAGCCATCACATCACATCTGACCTCATTAGTTATTTTTGCAAGTTACTGGTCTGAAGATGAAAAGGAAGAAGTGACTTGCATCAGGTTTCTAAAAGACTAAATAGAAGGCAGATTTTATCATATAATCTATAGCAGACTGTACTGAGAGTGGCCAAGCTGTACTTCAAGTGCTCATCCCATTGCTGAGGATCACACCAGAGTCTCAAGATCCCTACACCAGCTACTGATGGGAAGAAGTCATCTGCCCCACTGCAGCCCTTAACACAGGTTCTCTTTGAAAAGGTGCTCAGAAAAGTTGCTTACAATGTTTGGAAATGTGCTCAGGAGGTGTGCAGCCATGCAAAGGTGCTACATCCATAAATGCCAAGTACTCAAGGCCCTTTGTGACACTGGTGGAGAAGCAGGCTCTTTACCACTCTAAAATCAGATCATTTCTTTGGGTACTTTGGCTAAGGATGGAGACAACAGAGGTGATCACCTGTGTTTGAAAATGATTAAGTGCTTAAAAGCAAATATAGAATCTGCTTTGACTAGAGATTATTCCAGACCTGTATTTCTGACTTCTTGATATGAAAAATACGTACATGAAAAAAGTAGATATGCTTATGGAAGTCTGTGGGGGAAAACAAACAATGGCTCCATGTGTTCATATTGAAATGCAACTAAAATTACTGTTTTCTAGCAGTTAAGGTCAACCCTGAACTCTCACACCTAAGAAAAGCTTAGTTCACATTTTAAAATGGGGATTTTAATACTCTGTGGTATTATTCTTACATTTTTACTAATGTATAATTCTTTCTCTGCTGTTGCGCATTTTATCAGAGACATTACACTGTCCAACAGCTTAAGCACCTCTGCAGTTATCAAGGTTTCTGTTTTAATATGCCTTGTTTTAAGAACACAAAGCACTCAGCTCCTCCCTTTTCTGTCCTTTTTGCGAGCTTCCAGCCCCCAAAAATCTTAGAAAAGTTTTTATGCAGTGTGGTTTGGGAAAAACTAATGTGAAGGAGGTTGGAGGCCACCGGGAAACATTAATAGTTCTCTTCAGTTGTGTTTTCTTTCAACTGTTAGAGCCTAATGAGAGTACTGCTGTGAAATTTTGGATACAGTTTTGACAAGGCTGAGCTGATCCATCAATGAGGCCTCCTTGCTGAAATGAACACCTCCAGTAAGCTTTTAATGGCCTTTGTAAACAAACAGAATAATTCCCACTCACTGCAGAAATGAGTTCCATATTTATTTGTTTTACTTCACAGCTCCTATTAAGTTGATTTAATAAAATTCAGCACATAATGTTTTTTTAAAACAAGCCTTAAGTAAACTGAAACTGGGTACTGAACTCTGCATGGTGCTGCCAGTATTAATGGGTTCAAAAGAGGCCATAA